GTGACTGTCCGTATCCATGCTTCTCTTTCTATCTCTTGCAGCTTGCTTCTCCTTTTAGTGGTTCTACTTCTTTCTTCCCTAGACCATGGAATGCAGTTAGTAATACTTGTGTGCTTTTCTCATATCTGAAAAGATATTATCTATAATATTTTCACCAAAAGTACACCATCTACAGCATCAAATTAAATGTCCATAAGTGTTTAAAATTTTATATAATGCCAGGCTGGTGTGGCTCAGTGGTTGAGCATCATTCCATGCACCAAGAGGTTGCCAGTTTGATTCCTGGTCGGGACACATGCCCAGGTTGTGGACCCGATCCCCAGTGGGGTGCGTGCAGGAGGGGTCAATCGATGTTCTCTCTCATCAATGTTTCTATCTCTCTCTTTCTCTCCCTTCCTCTCTCTCTCAAATCAATAAAGAATTTTTTTTTTTAAATTAAGTAAACTTTTATATAATGGCTAAGCTACATCTTCCTGGTGACCCACTATCACCAGAGCAAATATAATTGTAGTTGAACTCTCCCTATTCCCCTTGGCTTTTTGTTTTTATTTCGACCTAAGACCCTTTCTCTAGAGTGAGAGAAGTGCTGTAAAGAGTGGCTGAATGAGCTGATATATTTAATCCTCACAATAAGTAAGAAAGCTGAGTCTCAGAAAAGTTAAATTACTTGCATAGGCACAGATGAGTAAGGTAGATATGGAGATGAGATTTCAGTCATAGTCTGCTGAATTCACTTATATATCCAGTTAACAGCTTTGGAGCAATTCTGAGGTTAAATTTTAATTTTCTTGCCCTCTAATATCTTTAATTTCCCTGATTCAGGTGCAACTGGACTTCAGGTATTTTCCTTCTTACTAGCAGGTAGTAGAGGAAATATTTCTTCATAGTCAAGATCATGGTTTGAAAACTAGCTTTGCGACTTGGGACTTGTATGATCTTAACTTCTGCGAGTCTTAGTCTCTTCATCTGTAAGTTAAGAGCAATGAGATATACTTTTCAACATTATTGTGAAAATTTAATAAGAAAGAAGATGTAAATATAAAGCATGATGCCTTGTGTATTGACTTAGCATTCAAAGTCTGTAGTTCCTTATTTTTATCTTCCTTTTCCTTTTGTTTCCTTCATTGTCTCTTCTTTATGAGGCTGCTTTCTATAAAAAAATCTAAAAATGAAAATCTCCTTAAAAAAACTGCTTTTTCTATATCTACTAAATTTTAATATAGAATATCCAATTATATTTCATTTCCTAGGAGGATTGATATTGAAAATACCTTTTACAAAGACTGTATCACAGCTATCAACCAATCAGCATGACTAGCTGTTTACAGCTGGTATTGTGATACTAGTGGGTGCATGCTCAGGTCTGGTTTTATGAGGTTTTAATTTTTTTGTTTGTAATTTTTTCTCTGATCTATAAAGCAAAGCTGAAATCTAGCTGGCATACATTTATTATGATTTATTGGACTACTTGCTATAGAAGTTGTTAAATATTTTTTAATGTTATGGCTACTTGTTAGTCATTTAGAAGTGTTATCTCTGGTTATAGAGTTTTTAAAATTAATTACTTTTAATTTAGTTGGAAGCATATAGACTGTTTAATACGATTTCTTTGAAATGTGCTGATTCTTGCTCTGGTCTGTGTGGCTCAGTTGGTTGGAGCATCATCCTGTAAACGAAAGGTGGTGGGTTCATTTCCTGGTCAGGGTATACCCAAGTTGCAGGTTTTATCCCTGGTCAGGGCATATGCAGGAGTCAACAGATCCATGTTTCTCCCTCATTCTCTTTCTCTCTCTCTCCTTCTCTCCCTCCCTCCCTCTAAAATTTCCTGATTTATGCTTTCAGCCTAACAAAATAACAAGTTTTGCATATTTTTTGTGTGCTTTAGAAGAATGTGTAGTCCATAATAGTTGGGTTGTTAAACTTGTCAGTTGTTTTGTTCAAATCAAAGACTTCTCATATCCTGTTTGTAACTTCAGATATTTCTATATTTTTGGAACTAGGTTTTCTGTTCTCTAAAGTTGGGGAAATATTAGCTACTTAAACAGTTATAATGAGGATCTAATAATATGATCTTGATAAATTATTTTGGAAAACATATGTACCTTTCTGAAGTTTTTTCATTCAATTACTTACTTACTTATGCATTGATTTAACAGATTTATAGAGATAATGCACTATGTGCCAGGAATAGAACTTAGGTAAGTGCTAGGTGTGCATTAGTGAAAAAAAATAATTATACTTATGTTTCACTCAAGGTCCTAAGTTTGTCTCTTCTCACACATATTTCAGGGTCTGGTATACCTACTCAGGGTTTGTGGGTTTTTTTTTTTAATATGATTATATAATAATAATTATTATTTTAGAGTGTTCTAAAGAGGCTTTCATAAATCTACATTTTAGATACAAGAAAACAACTGCAAAAGAAATACAAATATCTTGCCCACTAACTTCTGTTATTTAGTTGTATATGAAAATGATAGCCTAACCAAATTTATTGCTTGCACTCTATTTTATTCACTACTTTTCTCAAGCAGAGAATTGAATACTTTATTGCTTTTAAAGATCCCCAAGACAGACTAAAGACTTGACAGGGCTATTCATTTATCAGAAGTAAAAGCTGAGAAACACATTCAAACCTCCGAGGAGGTGGCACTGGTAACTTCTGGCTCTGAGTCATAGAAAAGAAGAAATGAAAACGGAAACCAACACTGGAAGCAACGAAGGAGCTGCCATGGTCATGGGGAAGAACCATAGCTGGCCTGATGCTGATGGGAATAAGAAGCACATAAGGAGGTCCCTTATCTTCATCCAACCTACTTCCATCCTCTCTGTAGCAACTCTTCGGGGACAATTTAACAGAAGCTAGGTAGCAAAGGAGAAATGTGGTTTTCATTGTGCCAATCCTAATTCACAAAGCAAAGCATAGACAATAGTTTCATAGCATCAAAATTACTCCATAAAAATAAGGATGAAAATCTTGTGCCTACTCAAAGCTTTATGACCCATTAAAGTACACCCAACACTAATAATAATAAAACAGTTCATGTTTATTGGACGTTTAGTATGCTTTAGGCACTTTTTAGTGCTACCCATGAATTAACTTATTTAATCTTATGAAGAAACAATAATTATCTTCTAACAAGAAAGGAAGATATTCTGGACCTACTGTTAAAGTTTAGAAGTAGTTATGGTCTTTTACTTTAGATTTGTGTTCTAAATTGAAATTCTCATGGACTCCTCAAAGGGCTAGCTAGATCTGACTCAATTCCTTCAGTGGCTATGGGTCTTCCATTTCCGACGTTGGCATTGCCCCACAGGGCTGCATACTGAACAACTTAACTCTTTGCCACTTCTAATCCTCTTCTTGCAGTTTCTGTTGGTTACCAGTTGCGTCTGGTTCTCCTACTGCTTAAGAGCTGTGTGATTCAATGCAGAGTAGGAAAGAAGTCTTTATCACAACCTGGTCACTTCTCAGAGGCCAAGAGGAGTTCTCTGCTACCATGTCATGTCTATTTTATTAGGTTAAAACGTAGAGTACATTACTAGGGGACTTAGTCTCATTACGTATCAAATCCAGAAAAGTTATGAAAGCTGGCAAATGAAACCTATTGTTCTGCATTATAATACACATCACATAAAAAAAAAGGTAGTACTTTTATTATTAAGGGACTTCATGTGATAAAATTCCAATATAGTTTATTTTGCTGCTATTACATTGCATCAAATTTCTTTTTGAATAAGCTTTGTTACCTCAGAAATGACAGATATACATTTCTAGTTTTATAGATGATATGATTCAGTTATTTACTAAAAAGTGTTTATTATGCATCTATTGTATGTCATGTTCTATTCTAGGCCTTTGGGATGTTATAGAATAATAAACACAAGTTTCTACTCTCAGGGAGCTTATATGTGTAGTAGACACAGATAGTAAACAAATGAACAAATTAAAAATAAATGTATATCATGAGCTGATTAATCATTACTTTGAATAATTAATAATGTACTTATTTTAAGTTACAAGTTCCTTTCTAGAACACCTTTTGTGTTTATTATTTTCTGAAGGTTTAAGAATGATTATGTTTTGCTGGGGCTTCCTGAGATATTTTCAACATTTTGCATTCTCATAATAGTGTTCTTTAAAATGACAAGCATGTTTTATTTCTGCAGTTAGAACTAATAGTAACAACAGCAACCAAAATATTTTTATTTTATTATTTTTGAATGATCTTAAAAAACTGATTTGAGAGAGAGAGAGAGATTGATTGATTGGTTGTTTTACTTATTTATGCATTTATTGATTGATTCTTGTATGTGCCCTGACCAGGGATCAAACCTGCAACCTTGGTGTATCAGGACAGTGCTCTAACCAACTAAACTACCCAGCCAGGCCCAAAATATATATATTTTTATCCTCACTCAAGGACATTTTTTCATTTTTTGTTCAGATGGAGTGGGAGGGAGAGAGAGGAAGAGAGAGAGAGAGAGAGAGAGAGAGAGAAACATCGACGTGAAAGGGACACATCGAGTGGCTGCCTCCCCCACAACCCAACCAGGGTTGGAGACAAACCGCAACCCAGGTACATGCCCTTAGCAGGAACCGAACCCAGGTCTCTCTGGACCACAGGCCGACGCTCCAACCGCTGAGCCAAACCGGCCAGGGTCCAAAATATATATATATTTTTTTTATCCTCACCCGAGGATATTTTTCCATTTTTTGTACAGATAGAATGGGAGGGAGAGAGAGGAAGGGAGAGAGAGTGAGAAACATCGATGTGAAGGGCCGGGGACAAACTGCAACTGAAGTACGTGCCCTTAGCGGGAACCAAACCCGGGTCTCTCCGGACCGCAGGCCGACACTCTAACCACTGAGCCAACTGGCCAGGGCCAAAATATTTTTATAACATGATTTTGAATGACATAGTGAATTTATTTTCATGTGGCAATTCTCTCTATTTGAATTTTGTGTCTGCAGTCACATAGTGTAAATCACTATTCATTTATACTCCATCAGAGAGGTTTTTCCTGCCCAGCATGTTCTTCACCGCAGTCTTGACATCCTTGTTCCGCAGACTATAGATGAGAGGATTGAGCATGGGAGTCATCACTCCATAGAAGAGGGAGATGAGGGCCTCAGTGATGTCTTGATTATCTGTACCAACAGACCTTTTAGACTTGGGCTTTGAATACATGAAGAAAATGGTTCCGTAGAATATAATCACCACTGTCAGGTGTGCTGAGCAGGTGTAGAAGGCTTTACGTTTTCCTTCAGTGGTAGGGATCCTCAGAATAGTGGCAACAATAAAAATGTAAGAAAAGGATATGACTAGCAATGGAATAACTAGAACAGTCAGATTTGAGCCTGCCATGCTGATCACATTGATTGAAATGTCAGCACAGGCCAGTTTTAGGATAGCCAGAATTTCACAGACAAAATGGTTAATGACATTGTTAGCACAGAATGGTAATTGCATTGCGAGAGATGTCTGCACCACCGAATCTACAATCCCAGAGACCCAGGACCCAGCTGCCATGAGCACATAGGTACCTTTGCTCATGATGACAGGGTATCTCAGTGGGTAGCAGATGGCCACATAGCGGTCAAGTGCCATCATTCCTAGAAGCATACACTCTGTGGCCCCCATGGCAAAGGAGATAAACATTTGTACCATGCACCCAGAGAAGGAAACATGTTTCCTTACTGTCAGAAAACTGTCAAGAATCAGTGGGACAGAAGAGCTTGCATAGCAAATGTCCAGGAAGGAAAGATTACAGAGGAAGAAATACATGGGGGAGTGCAAGTGAGAATTGTAGATGATTACCGAGATAAGAACTCCGTTTCCCAGTAGGATCATCAGGTACATCCACAAAACTAGCACAAAGAAAACTGTCTGGAGCTTTGGGTGGGCAGAAAGTCCAACCAGGACAAATTCTGTTAATATGGAATCATTTGTCCTTTCCATATTACATATGCCATTTCTCCAACAGCACTCTATGAACGATAGAACAGAAATTTGTTAAAACAGTGTAGGTAGGAGCTCCTCTTTTAATAACCATATTGTGTGTTACTGTAGTTCTTTAAGGATTTGGATGCATCAATATAACTCTGGGACAAATTTCTTACTGCAAACCCAAGCCTTTAGACCTGGAATCCGAATCTGATTTTCTCAGGGTTGAGAGAGAACACATTTGATTATGGGATTTTAGGATCCAAAACAAGATTATTATCATTTCTACTGGTTCTGCCTTTAATGCATTGACTGCAAATCAGTGGCCCAAAGCCTGGGTGCAGCAGACAGATGTGCTTCGTTCGGCAGTGATTCCTGCACTATGCTGTACTTTAAATGAGAGGTCAACATTGTAAAAGTAGGAGATACGGCATAAAAATCTCTATTTTTAGCTTATCATCCAATAAGTTATAATATTTGAAAACATTGGACTCAGTTGAGCTCAGTTATAGCTGATGCATTGAGCTCAGTTATAGCTGTTGCATTGGATTTGAAGCATGTTCTCCATTCTTCCAGAATACCCTCCTCTCTCTCTTATCTGTTGATCTCAGTAATTTATATTACTTGTATATGTATTTGAATGTTTGACTCAAGGCTAACTTTATCCACTAGGTGCAGTAGACCTACCATACTGTTAGGAGACTATAAAAATGTTTTGATTTCTTTTAAAATCTGAATAGAACCATGAATTTTTAAATTTCAATACATAGTATTAGTATATTTATCTTTATGCCAATGAAGATGTAAAATATAATAATATTACTGCATGGAAGAAAGGGCCCTTAGAGGCAAAGTGTCTTGGGCCCATCAAAATCATAACGCAGTCCTGTGTGGTTGAGTCTCTTTTAAGAGATTAGTATGGTGTGTTGGTGGTATAAGTAGTCATTATATATTTGCATATTGTCTCATTGAGGACGATAGCCTTATTGAAAGATCATATATTTATATTGCACCAGTATCTACTTCAATTTAATGAGGAACTTTGTGTTCAAATAAGTGTTTTTTAATAGAAATGATTGAGAGTACTTATAGTCAATTTATAATGAATAGAGAGATGTAATGTTGTGTATTGTAGGCTCCACCTAACTTGTTTATTGCCACTTCATGCAAGAATTATCACTTAGGGATCAACTTAAGAACAGTGCTTTAATTAAAAATGTATATGTTTAATTCAGCCAGTGACATGCAACTATTATTTTTTAGCAAATAAAATTTACACAGAAGCATAATATAGAAAACAATAAAAAGGAGAGTTTTTCTGGTCAAAGTTACATTGTTTTGCAGGGAAGGAAAAAGCACTATGATTCAGTACCTTATTTACTTTTCCTCCCTTGATTTTGTTTCCAAGGTGTATAATTTGAAAACTGATGTAGTAAGTAGGGAGTAACATTAATAATTTGCACTTTAATAATCTTATTATTAAAATAACACAATTAATTATCAATACAATAGTAATATATGTATTTATTATCTATGCCAAATACATTTCTAAATGCTTTTTTCCACATAATAATCCAAGGAAGTAAAGGAACTACTATTGTATGCATATGGATTATTCTTATTAACCTATCCTAAATATTTGCTAAACACCATCAGTAAATCTTAAGAGTAAATAAAAGAAAAAGTAATTATTTTACTAGATAAGAAATAAATTTGGTGAAGGTCAATTCATAATTTTCATATAAACTCATTGAAGTTTAGAAACAGAAGGTTACTTCCTAATCATAAAAGGAAACTATATATGAAAAATCAGTAGCAAATTACTATTTAGTAATAATTGAAACAATTTATACATTCTCATTAAGATCTGTAATAAGGATGCTCATTCTTATAGCTACTATTTAACATAGACTTGGTAGTCCTGTTCAAAATCATAAGATAAGAAATGGTAGAAGTAGCAATAAAAGGAGACTAAAAATGTATAAGACCTAATAAGAGAAAATTAGTTAGACTTCTGAATATAAGATTAATGAAAAAAATCAATAGTACTCTTTATATTAACAATGAATGATTAGAAACATAATGGAAATTAATAAAAATAAAAATATGAAGCATCTGTATCTTAACAGCATGCACAAAATATTTACAGAAATCATTTAAAAATTATAATAAACAGCCTAATAGACTACATGTAATTAAAAAGTAAACATGTTAATAAGTAGTCTAAAAATATGAGGCTATCATCCCCCCCAAGTGAGTCTATATATTCAATTAAATACATTCAAAATTTAGCTGGATTTATTTTGAGAGATATGAGCACTCATTCTAAAATGTATATGAAGAATAAAAAGCACACAACTTTCACTATTAAATTTATAAGAGAAAAATGAGGGGAACATCCATATTTAAAACACACTGTGAAACCACAGTAATAAAAATATCATGATAATGGTGGAGAAACATTTAAATAGTCTGGAGGAAAAGAAAAGAGCTCTCAGATAAAGACCCACGTTTGTATGAGAATGACATATAAAACTGTTACCCCAAAGCAATGGGGAAATAACAGCTTTAGTAGATCGTGTTAGGAACATGCTCTTTTATATGAAAAGATAAAATAAGGTTCTTAGGTTACCAGATGGATTAACAATTTATGTGTAAAGAAAAAGTATAATTTAATAAAAGACTATAGAAAAACTCATAAACTTATAGTACAGAAAAAAAAAAAACCTTATAAAACATAAAGCTTTAAGCCAATAGAAAGTTAGTCAAAGGATAGAAATCAGTGATTCACAGGAGGGTTTTTCTAAATGGCTGACAATTCTCACTCTTAGAAAATCTGAAAAATGTTCATTAAATGTTCAAAAAACAGCCATGAGATGTCATTCATTTTTATTAGAAAAGTAGATGATACCAAATGTTGGCAAGCATATGGGGAGGTAGAATCCTGGTGGGAGTATGCTGGAAAACTCTCTGGCTGTATTAAAGTTTGGTAGGTCCCAGTGATTCCAGTCATGAGATTATGTCCTACATAAGTTCTTGTCCAGGACTGTAAGGGGAATAACGTAAGGGTCATTGCATTTATTTGTGGCAAAAGTGGTTGGAGGCAACCTGGATGCCCATCATCAGAGGGATGGTTCTGCGGCATGTGAGCATGCATTATGCAACAGTGTGCAGAAGTGAGAAGCAAATGAGCTGAATGTTTACACAGCAACGTAAATAGATCCCTGAAAAAGTGTTTACAAAGGAATCAATATTGTGATTGATAGCACAATAAAATCCATATATAAATTTAAAATACATATTTCACAGGAGAATGCACATTTTTAGGAACAAATCAAACATAATTATAGGTTGAAGAGGGAATATTAGTGGCATCAGTGATTATGGGAGAATAATAGGAGGCTTTTTAAGGAGTGAGGAAAATAATCTGTAAAAGAATATAAGATAAAATATAGGAGAGCATGATTAAGTAAACTCTAAATTTAAATGGAAACAGACAAATAATACATAAAATCATAGCAATATAAGGCATATACCAATGAAGGAGCTCTGATCAGAAATGTAATTCAGCACTGGCCAGTGCGGCTCAGTTGGAGCATCGTCCTGTAAACCCAAGTATTGCAGGTTCAGGGTACAAATAGGAGGTAACCAGTAGATGTTTCTCTCTCTCTCTGTCTCTAAAAAAAATCAGTAAAAACATATCCTTGAGTGAAGATTTTTAAAAAAGTAAATGTAGTTCAATAGAAAGGACTACCATAAATGTAAAAAAAAAAACAAAATGAAAAATTGACTTCTGACACCAAAAAACAATACATAATGGAGTGAAGGGGGGAAAAATTAGGACACTTAAAATGGGTTAAAGCTTAGTTAGACCAGACATTTTAAACAATTAAAGTTTTAAATCTAGTTAAAGATAAAGAAAGGCAGTCATAAAGTGGTCGGTCAGTAATGAGAATGGAAGGAAGTTCCCAGGGTTAATGAGAGGCAGTGCTTACCCATTTTATCTCGTCCCATTGGAAAGGTTATAAGTAATGTAGAGATAGATGAATCTGGCATTTCTGTTAGCCTGAATCCACTAAATATGCTATTCATATAAGTAACCACTTTGATTTGGCCCAGTCTTCCCCTTCTGATGAGGAGGCAAAAAGGAAGAAAAGAAAGAATGGACTGAGCAGAGGAATTAAGTGGCTGCTCCCACACTGGCCTTTGTGTTTCTCACTGTAAAGCACGGCGCTCTGCTTCATAGCAGCATGTGTGATCTAGTGAGAATCGACTCCTATGAATGAAACCCAGCCTCTTCTTGCTTTAATTATTTTGAACTCAACAATTATTTTGAATATAACAATGCAGGTGATATGGCATCTCCACTATTTTTTAAATCTTTTCTTTTAATGTGGTGGTCATAGCAACTGCTGAATATGGTTAAATATTTGCATTGCATTTTCTTTTTTTTTTTTATCCTCACCGGAGGACATTTTTTTTTTTTTTTCCATTTTTTGTTCAGATAGAGCGGGAGGGAGAGAGAGGAAGAGAGAGAGAGAGAGAGAGAGAGAGAGAGAGAGAGAGAGAGAGAGAGAGAGAGAGAGAAACATCGATGTGAAGGAACACATCAAGTGGCTGCCACCCGCACGACCAACCAGGGCCGGGGACAAACTGCAACCGAGGTACGTGCCCTTAGCGGGAACCGAACCCGGGTCTCTCTGTACCGCAGGCAGACGCTCCAACCGCTGAGTCAAACCGGCCAGGGCTGCATTGCATTTTCATACAGTTGGGACAGAGAATTAATTTTTCAGTAGATTAGGGGTCCAATAATAGTGTTAGAATTGCTTGGCTGCTGAAGAAGGGCTAACACATCTGTTTTGCAGTGATGTCTCTAAGAGCACCGACTAGAGGTATCAAATGTTCTCATTCTATTCGCTGGGGGGAGTGGAGGAGAGGCACAATTCAACCCCATGGGTCAACTGTAAGTGTTTTTGAAGAGGTAGGTGTGGCAAAAGAGCAAAATATTTTATTTT